TGCCTGATGAACTACTCGCTGATGTTTGTTTACCAGAATCTGCAAGTTTGGGAAGTTCAGATAATTTTCAATTTGATCTTTCAGATGAAATGTTAGCAAGTATACCAAATAGCATTTGGAGTAATACTGCAACTAATGCAATCTTTAATAACTGTAACGTTAGCTTTAACTTTAACTTTAAGTAAACTGTTTATACTTAACTCTGTGAGAACAGTTAAAGCTACAGTATAAGTAAAAGCTGTGATATGACAAATAGATAAGGAGTTTAGGTAATAAAATTTGTTGTGAATGCTTGTATATTTGACTATTCATTTGGATAGATCTATTAGTATTCTAGAAAAAAAAAATATAGAATAGGTCTATTAGTATTCTAGAAAAAATATAGAATACTAATAGATCTATTAGTATTCTATATTTTTTCTAACATATTAATAGATCTATTTTCTATTGTTATTATTCATCAACCCCACCCTTTCCCTGCAAGCCCTCCCCGCACTTTTAGTTTGTATCGGTGAATACAAGGGTAGTCATGTGACTCCAATGGTAATCATTGAGTGGCTGTCTAGCTTATGAATTATTAATGAATATTATAAGTATTAATACAAAGTGTTGCTCTAAGAGTCATTGTAGGAAGTCAATTTGACTTCACAATTTGCTCACATAATTGATATCTTTTATATTAATTGAGTGCAATTACAACTTGTAATGATAAAAGATGAGTGTTGCTTGGCTACTTAGAGAACTAGTATGTAGCAAGCTTAGTTGTAATGGAATGTTTAGATAAACAACAAATTGTAATCATTATTTTCATCGTAATTGTATTCTAGTTCGCCATCTTTCGTCTTTCCTACCTACTGGCATTATTGCCTTGATGAACATGGTCAAGGAATTGTTGTGGACTTCTCCATAAAGCTGAAATTAGTTCTTTCATATACAAAGAGTTATTATTGTGTATCATCCGGCAACTTGAATAAGACCCCAACAGTTCCAATTGGAAAAGTTTTTGTGATCAGTACAATTTATAAGATAAGAAAATATATACAAAATCATATAGTGGAGGACTTAAAGAAAGAACAGATGATGAGATTGAAAGCTTATGTGCTGTACAATTAATATCAAGTTTGTCACTGATAATACACCATTTCGCGGATAATTCGAAAGTTTACATTACGTTGTTATGGTAAATCATTGACATCACTGGAAAGAGCTTCATAAAATCAGCAAATTTGCCAAGTTTGAAAATAATCTGATTTAAATTCAAAGAGATATGGCACTTCAAAAACACTAAATTTTGCATAGAAATGTTTGGCGAGGTTGTAACAAGTCAAGGTCAACCTCGATCTCATGCCGGCAGCCCATACATTTCTTTGTAAATTTTGCCGACTTTCAAACGCTGTATCTCCTTGAATTTTCATCGAATCATGCTCAAACCTCGTAAACATACTAATTTTATACTGTTCTTTCCAGTGGTGGTAATAGTTTTTCGATATTTGCTCAATTTCTAATAGCTGTGTTATCCGCGAAGTGGACTATTATGTAAATAATTTAGCCAGATTCCAAGACAGTTGTAGAATTCTCTGTGGATGTAACAGCTTCTGTTTTTTTTTTCTAGATTCAACTATCTTTGTGTCCCACCAGTCCATGTTTCTTTTTGTATAGTGTCTTTTTATTCTCTCGTGATGTTGTAAAGCTTTTTGCCTTGATTCCAACACTAAAATATCACAAGCTGCATCCCATTTGTTTGACTTTTGATAATAAATTGCCCTAGCATCATCATTATTCTTTTCCACACCCTGTCCAGTAAATTGTGATAATGATCCATGCTTTGAAATAAATTTTGGTATATGGTAGGGGATGGTATGCATGTAGGGTGTCACTCGGGCTTTCCCGTAACCAATCCGTTTAGAACCAAGGCTACAAAATGAAGTTATCCACTGTTTGCCATTTTCATGAATCTTGTTTGATGTTGTATTATCTATTACTGTGCTGCATATTAATTGATATAATAAAAAAAAGTCTTCCCATAGTTTTATCGCATTAGACTTTGTTTCAGTGAAAAGAACATCCATTGCTTTTAGCTTTTCAGGTAATAATTTTAGAAGTTTCTCTTTGTCTGATCCAACTAAACTTATCCAGTTTTTTTGTCCACTTGATTTGCCAGCTGCATTTAATTTTTCCCAAATTGAAAATGTAATTCCTAGATCATTTATAGCCTCAACAAATTTTATGAGGTGTAAACCTTTGGGTTCACCTTTTTTGTGTTAAAATCATCTTTACTGTCTTTTTGCATGACCTCAATAATCAGATTTTCAGTTAGTCTCTCTGTAACTCTCAACATCATATGTAGCTCATCTAGAATCACATGATCAATGGTTGATCGACACAGCAAATTGTCTTTTGATTTAGTGCAGTTTTTCTTGATGGATTCTAGTGTTCTTTTAAATTTATCAGAGTAATAGTATTCTAGATTATGGTTCATTTCCCACCTTTTTGATTTATGTACTTCACACCACAAACATGCATAATTTGATGTAGCACCACTGAGGACCAATGTTAGAAGCAAGAATTTCAAATCACCCCCTAGAAAATACTCCACTGGTACATTCGTTTCTCCTAATTTGGTAGTTATAGATTTCACATGTTCATTAATGTCATCTATCACAGTTTTGAATGAAACCTCAAGGGTTTCATACTTTTCTGGGCCATTTACAATGGCTATTGTGTGATTCCCTTTTCATTGAAGCAAAGAAAAGGATAAAATCATGAAAGTTGTTGTTCTTGACATTCTTGCTCTATCTCCACTTATTTTTACTTTCAATGCGTCTTTGGTTAAATCATGAGATGGGTGTGAATCCAAGTACTTTGTCACAGACTCCTTCAACATTGAGTCAAAGCTACGCTGTGCGCATGGATGTGGTCCAGGTACCCTCTCTATGTGGCACAAAGAATTTAGGTTATCCCTCTTTTGCTTTATCAAATATGATTGAGGGATATCATTTGTTACCAGGCTAAGCTCATGATAGCACTCATCACTCACATAGAATTTATCAAGAAGAAATACTATTTGCTCAAGCCTTTCATGCTCTTCTTCATAAAGATTTTCATAGCGTTTGGAGCCTTTTGACCATTTAATTTCTTTCTTATAGTTCACATTATCAATCTTAACATCATTTACATCTTTAAATGAGATATTTGTGATATCTAGTCCAAAAGACTTTGAAAACCAGAGAGCAGCTTGAGCCCTGTCTTTCAGTTGTTTCAACTTCCTGGATTTTTGTTTTTTGCCAACTTCAGACATCTTTTTACTACTGCATGAAAATTCATTAACACTCCAAGATTCCTCTAATGACATGACATAAGCTTTTAGTTCTTCTTTTAGTGCATTTAAAACTTCTATCTCTTCTTCTTTTCATTCCAAGACTTGTCCTATTTCTTCCAAAAGCTTACATTTCTCATTTTCAATGTCAGCACACTTTTCTTCCAGTTCTGTGCTAATGTCTTCATAGCTCTCTCTGAGTTTTGTTACAGAAATAAGCTCTTTGGTCAGAACACTGAACTCTGCAAATTTTTTATCTAATTATTTTCTATTTCTTCCTCCTTTGCATTTTTGTAAAGTAAAATGACCTTTTCCATTTTCTTTTTAATATTTTCTTCAAGCCTTCCACTAGAATCTTGGGCAACTTCCCAACACCCACCAGGTACTGTGGCATTCAGTAGTTCAGTAATGGTAAAGCAGATTCCATCTGAGGTATTTTTTGTAGTATATTTTTTCCATATTTTTATATTTTGGAAATGGCACTATTACAGTAAAAGCAACTTCAAACAAATCTACTTGATTTAAGTAATAAAAGCAGCTTTGTGGAGATACCTCAGTATCATACTTTAACTTGAAGTTGAGAGCTTGTTTAGCATATTCATGCAGATATTCAGACATTTTGATTTTGGAATTCCCGCCAATATTAAGACACAAATAAAAACCCTTGGGGATAGRGTTTCTTACAAATCCCAACAGCACACTTATAAACTAGAGTCTAAAACGGCCAATAGTGAATAAATTTACTTTAAAGAACAATACGATTCCAGCGGCTGTTTGAACGTCTCATTTTCACGCGAAGTCGAAATCTTGGGCATCGTTTTTGTTTTACCCATCGTTGTCCCTCCCCACAAAGACGTTTTTGTGCCTTTTAGGCCTGGTTACAAAGACATAGGTGAAGGCAATCGAGTCGAATAGAGAAGCTCTGTTATGGTGCTTATGGAGCTCGATTTTTTCAAGTTTTCTTAGGCCTGGCAGTGTGATAYTTTGCYATGTGATAGACAAACATGTATGGGGAAAAAGAACGTATTTGGCTYGAGTTTTGCCCGCTTTAAAGAATAAGGTTTTCTGCTAAAAGTGGACTCTTAGACGAGTGTGGTCTTTGATGAACAAATTGTGAACAGCGGAAATTYGATTCCTGGCATGGCAGTGGAGCTTTTTACGAGTTTGTTAGTCAATATTATGGTGAATTTAGTAAGAATTTATGTTGGAAAACGCTAATAATTGGAGCTGCATTTTGCCCTAACTAAATATTGGTGTAGGCATCTTAAATTCATTCTGGTAAGTACATTTAGGTGTAATAACTTGACTGATAACAGCGGAAAATGCCCCTACGAAAGTGAAAAGCTATAATTTTATTTTTAAGCTGTACTTCCATACATTTCTTCAGGCGGATCCGCCATGTTTAAATGCCCGTTCAAGTGTATGCATAATGAGATGGCCGCCATCATGTCCGCGATTGCTGCTAATGATTGTCTACTTGACTCTGGCTCTGAAGTTTCTACGCTAACTGAAAGTTTTTTCAATCGTCATTTCAAACCAAAGGGAAAGACTCTTACCTCTACCTCGGGATGGTTATCCATTACTGAAGCTAATGGCTTGGAAATTCCATATCTTGGTTACTTTGAAGCAGATATAGAAGTCCTTGGTAAGACCATTGAGAAACGTGGCTTCCTAGTGGTAAAAGACCCAACATCACCAACAGCAAGACAGCGAAAAGAGAGAATTCCTGGTCTGCTTGGGATGAATGTGCAAAGTAAAGCAAATGAAAAAGCCCGAAACAATGAAACTTCGACACCTTGGTTAAATCTGGGACCAGTATGGAGTGAGGCCATTACTCAAACGCAGTGTAAACAGCGATCATCAGTGCTAGGCYTGGTGAGAGTGGCYGGACGAAAACCAGTTAGAGTTCCAGCTAACTCCGTAACTACAATCGCGGCAACTGGCTGAGTTGCYAGATCAATGAACACTCCCTAGCGATAGCGGAGCCATTATCAAATGACTCATATGATGTCACACTAGTTAACACTATTGTACGTAACACTCGTTCATTTCTCGTCCGAGTCGTCAACCTCAGTTCTGAAGACAAATGGCTTCAACCAAGGACAAAGATCGKATCCCTACAGAAAGTTGATGCTGTCGAATCTGACGTAGATTTCAAAAGGGTCGCAGTAAATGAAGAAATGGTCGTACTTAATAAATCCTTCAAAGCCACTTCCGCTACTAATTCTAATCACACCGACTCAAGATTCTCATCTTATCTCTCTACGTCCGATCAAATGTCAACACATTTGCAAAAGAAGACGACGATGTCGGCTACACGGACACTGTCACCCATAAGATTAGGGCGCATGATGATGTTCCAATTACTCAGCTGTTATGTCGCATCCCTCCTAGTCAATACGAAGAGGTAAAACAGCACATAAAGAAGCTTGTTGAATCATCTGTAATACGCGAAAGTCATAGTCCATACGCCTCGCCAATTGTGTTGGTTACGTAAGAAAAATGGTTCTCTTCGCCTATGCGTACACTACAGGAAACTGAACATGTAGACAATGAAAGACTCTTCCACTTCCGCGTATTACCGAATCACTCGATGCACTCAATGGTGCACAATGGTTTACGACGTTAGACCTTGCCAGTGGCTTTAACCAAGTTGCTGTTGATGAAGAGGACAAACAGAAAACTGCTTTTATAATACCATTTGGACTATTCGAATACAATCGAATGCCATTTGGACTCTGTAATACACCTGCAACCTTTCAACGGTTGATGAAGAATTGCCTCAATGAACAGATCTTCCAAATACTGTTAGTGTACCTGGACGATATTATCATATTCTCCAAGTCGTTTGAASAACATCTGGAAAGGCTTGATCTCGTATTAACCCGTTCAGCAAAGCATGGCCTCAAGGTTAAACTCGAAAAATGTACATTCATCAAACATCAGGTGTCTTACCTAGGATACGTCGTGTCCGACAAAGGTGTTTCAACTGATCCAGGCAAGATCCYAGCAGTTTCACAGTGGAAGGTACCAACTAGCGTCAAGGAACTGAGGCCCGCTGCACGATCTTAAAAACCAAATGTCTTCATGAGATCAAATCCAAGAAGCGACTCAAAACACCGGAACATTGGTCAGACGTCCATCAGTAATCGTTTGACACTTTAAAGTATCTTCTGACAACAGCTCCAGTTCTTGGCTTCGCAGATTTCTCGTTGCCTTTTATACTGGAGACGGATGCAAGTCACCAGGGTCTAGGAGCCGTTTTGTCTCAGGAAAAAGATGGCAAGCGTCATGTCATAGCCTATGCAAGTCGTCGTCTCCGAGAACCAGAAAGGAACATGCAAAATTACAGCTCTATGAAACTGGAACTGTTGTCGCTTAAGTGGGCAATAACARAGAAATTCCGTAGCTATCTATTTGGAACTACTTTCGAAGTGTACACAGACAACAATCCTCTCAAACACTTGGACACAGCAAAGCTGGGAGCACTAGAGCAACGATGGGCTTCAGAATTTGCCAGTTTCAACTTCACGATAAAATACAG